AAAAAAAAAAAAAAAAAAAAATGTTATGCCTCAATTTACGGCATACGTTAAAGCAAGGGTACATACCTGATCTCCAAATTTTTCTGTCGCCAGTTGACGCAAGATGTAAAGCAGCAAAAGTGCATAATCTGCACGAGAGCAAAAAACAACAAACGGTCTGTTACTACACATATCAGCCTCATTGAAGTTTCCGATGTAGTCTTTGATCATTTGCAAAATCATAACATTCTTGTCTTCGTATGAGAGTACTGGTCGCAAAGGAGTTGGCTTCTCAAACTTTCGCTTGGTCACCTCTGACTTGTTGTCAGGATTCAGACCCATCAGATTTGCGTAGAAATCAATGGTGCTTTCAGGAATCCTATCATGCATTACAATTACTTTTTTGGCATTTTGAAGTTGGCACTTAAATACATCAATGACCTCTGCTAATTCGCCTTTCTTTGTTCCTAAACGTAAAAATGGGTTAAAAAGGAAAGTACGAAGAATAAACTACTTATGTTATTTTATACCTGAGACAAAATGGTATTGTAAGAAGGTGCCTTCGTCCAGCAGCAGAATGTCATAATCAGTCTTTTCGACTTTCCACAAGGAGTCGAGACAAACAACGAAACGGTGATGGTGTTCAGGGTTATTGAAAGCGTCACTATCTGTATAGCATTTCAAGCCTAACCTCTCTGACGTATACTTGGCAAGTGAGATACGGAATGTAATGGCAAGCACTGACTTTTCTCCATGTCTTGACAGATACCACTGAGAGACATGGGTTTTTCCTGTTCCCATTGGGGCATCTAGAAAAACTAGTCGAGAACAGGCATCAAAGTCGATATCTTCACTGCCAGCAAAATTCAGCTTGTCGTGCGGAGATTTGATTATTTCTTCTTCAGTAGGAACAAAACCGTATTGGTCGGCAGTCTCCAATATATACATTGGATAACTGCAGTTGAAACAGAACACGCATTTTGTGCCTTCAGAAAATACTTAGGACTGATTTGACAAACCGGCATTTCGACAAAAATGCACATACCATTTGGCCGCAAAAATGCCTTTGCACTTGAAATGCCTACGCCTCTTATCTCCGAACCAGCTACTTGTGTTTCGCACTTGAGACAGAAGACACATTGATTGTGTTCTAGGTCACTGAGTCGGACAGGGTTATTGTGCTCGTTCACAATCCACATGGTATCATCTACAATGACAGTTTCGCTGTTGGATGAGGCTCTTGGGACATGCGAAGAGAGAACAAGCATGGGCACTCTTTCAACTTGTGGCATTTCAAATTTTTGTAGATATCTGCCTTGCGGATCCACTAAATTCAGAAAGTATAATTAGCCATCAAATTGCAAATTGTTTACCATAGCTTCCAAACACTCACTATTATCTGTGAAGCAGCTCGTGTGGTACAGCGTTTGCCTCGCCAACTCGGGACTTCGTACAGACAGAAATTCTGAGGGCTGTACTTGCAATATCTCACTGTGGCAAAAAATATCAACAGTGACCAAAGTTCGGCACCACGCTTCGAGAGATATTTGCATCTGCGAAAAGCTCCAGTTTGGGTTCAACGCCCAATCAAAGTTGGATTCGTCATATAATATGAAAGGTCTCATCTTGTCCAGCTTCGACGCACCATAGGTGCGGTACAGCTGATTTTTCTGGTAAACCGAGAGGTCGATGATTTTTTTAAGGTTTTCCTTCAGGAAATCATTCAGGTCAGAATCCTCCAGTTGGTGCCGAAGAAATGCATTCAACTCATGCACATAACTTGCGCACGAACACTGCGCATTATCAAAAATGATGCTACGATGAATGAGGTGCAGTGACATTTTGATCGGGGTGCAACCATGCAATATTATAAGTTCGTTGGGGTTAATATCTAGAGAAGGAAACGAAAGTCTCAAGTGCTGGTTCAAACAACTACGGATGAATTGGACGCAGGTGAAGACGTCCTCCTTGGTAAGAAGTTGTGTATCCGACAAATCGAACTCACAGTCCAGATAAAGTCGAACATTGTCTCGCTCAGTAATAACCTCATATATACTTGGTTTGCCATTCCAACATGAATTATCGTACATTGCTCCAACTGTACCCGTCCAAAATTTCTTGCCAACATAGCGCGACCCGTCTTCGGAAATACGAGGAACGTCGATAGCCCACACTCTTTCCGAATGAGTCACCCTAGCAAGAGCAAGAGCAAGACGGTTATATGATCTGGGCATTTGAAAGAAGAAAAAGAGAGTTGCATGCAAAATCTTGGAAATTGCAAATTTTCTAATTTTAACAACCAACGCGCTTGATAGGTCACACACACTTAACCTCAGTACCCACAGAACCTCCATCAATTGCCTCAAAACCCAACAGATAACCAAAACTTGTAGAGATTATAGGAGGTGAAAGACGCCATAGTTGACAACTGGCTTTTCTTTTGAACAGATGTCAGATCACTTGGCGAGCCATTGCACTGACATCGAGGTCGATCACAAAGTCTGTACTGCGCCTAATTGACAGACAAAGATACTGGTACCGATTGTGTGTTCAAGCTGCGGCAAGCAAGTCTGTGTGAAACATCGCTGGCCAAAGGAGCATAATTGTCAACCACAACCAAAAATTACGAAAGCTGTGGCAGATTCCAAAAAGATGTTAAAGGCTTATCGAGCGTTGGTCTACTAAATCAACCGCGTTTGTCAGTCACGACACGGCTGGCTCAGTCGCGCATTAGGCCCCCTGGTTATTTTAAAGTACCACACCTTATTTACTCCCCCACTCAACCTGTAGAAATGCTCCATCAACTATATAATGGATTGACTATTGTACAATCTGCTTCTGCTTTAACATTCTCTGTATTTTACGTTACACATGCTACGCAATTCTTAGCCGCTCCGTTCGGCGGCATTGAAGCCAGCAATAAATACCTATTACTAGGACGACCTTTATACCAAGACGAACACTTAGAGCCTATTCTCGTCACTGGCGCTGCTTCTGTACATGTGCTGTCCGGACTGGCCAAAGGCGCCATCCGACAGTACTGGAAAAGAAATAGTACAGCTGACTTCACACCGCGATCCACCGTCTACCATCGCCGAGCAGGATACGCTTTGATACCTCTCGTAGCACTTCATTACATCGTTGCTCGCGACTTGCCACGGAAATACTTGGGCGATAGCACATTCCTCGACTACTCGTACATCGCTTTCTTGCTTCAGAAATACCCTGCTATTACTTATATCGGTCACACCGCTTTGATATCCATTGCTAGTTTCCACATTGCTGCAGGTATGAATGTAGCTGTCAAACAATTGCGCGGACACAAAAAGCAGCAGCATCAAAAAGATACCCTGGCCACTGCAAAGCCATTGGTCGATCCAAAACGCATTCCAGTATACGTATCATTGGTCGTGAGTGGCCTGGCCCTCAGTGGACTGTATGTCCTCGGTAGAACGGAAAAGATTCCACTCAGAAGAGAGTATGCCCGCATCATTCAGAGTATAGCATCAAAATAGAGACAGTTTACCAGAGAGCTCTCTTACATGTATTTTTTTCCCATCGAATGAACATTTCTATAATATACAAACATCCATGCTTACTTGACGTCGTCATTGCCGCCACTTCAATAGAAAAAACAAGCTGCTAGAGGACGATGATTTATTGGCGCTCTGCCTGGACATATGTTGCTTTTTCAGTAGAAGAAAAAAATAACAACCGCAAAACAGTAGTGAAACAGTATGATGATCACAAAACAAAAATATAGAAAAAAATGAAAACATTTGAAAAGTATTATATAGGAATGGGCTAAAGTAAGAGAAGTTATGAAAATAGCACAAGGAGGGTTCATCTGCAATCGCCGTCTTCAATACATATGTATATCTTCAAAAAGTTGATAATACCATCTCCTGATGTTGGTCGGTCAGGCCCTGTTGCTGGGTGGAGCTAGAGGGTGGAGGCACAACAGACATTGCAGTGGGATCGACTAGGTTAGTGCCCATATAGGAGACATCTGAACTTGCAATGGGATGAGCAGGATGCAAAGTTTCCACCACGTTGAAGCGAGCAACGAATTCTCTTGAGCTTGTCGTTGTGGGCCAGCTCTTTTGAATAACGTGAGTCTGTTTCGGAGCAGGTAGAGGTAATTTGGTATGCGGTGTGCTTGCCATTGCAGCGTTAGTTATGTAAGGATGTGGGGTTGGCGGGGTATCTTGGCTCACCGAACGCTGATGCGATAAATGTTGAGCCCGCTGGGAATATGCGTTATTGTTGTGCTGAAGAGTCAATCCTGTGGGATCCGATGAAGTTGCGTGATTATGCTGATGGTTCATGGGTTGGTCCGAGATCAAAAATTGATTAAGTTCGGAGGGGTATACACCAAAGTCAACTGGTTGGTCAGCCGCAGTCATCTCAGTAAAATTGGCAAATTCATTCTTCATAATCGACTCTCCATTATTATCTGGTATATCGTCATACGAACTTTCAACTCTCTGTTTCTTGGAGTTGTTCTTTTCAGTCACAAGTTGACTATTATAGCCATCAAATGGAAATTGTCCATTAACTTGTTGTCGCTGATGTTGCAACCACATCTGCCGATTCCATTGCTGAGTTGCTTTTGGAGTTGCTGGAGTACGTACTGGTGTCTTTGTAGTAGTAAAGTCAGGTGTTTCTCTAGCAGTAGTAGGCGACTTCTTGTTCGAGAAATTCGACATTTGCTCATCGTACATGGTTTGATTCATGGCAAAATTCATTGGAAGTTGAGATGATAATACAAGCATATGAGCCGATTGATTGGTATATGCATTAGTGGCCGCTACCGAGTCACGGTAGTCACGGTCCAACTTGCCAATAGCTTCACGATCCATTTCACGCCGACCTGAGAAATTCAAGACGTCCATATGGGTATAATTAGGTGGAGGAAATGATCCAATAGACTGACGCTGATTTGAAAAAAGTGGATCCTGGATTAACGACGGATGCATGTCTATTATGCCATCCGGTTGAAACTCGGGTATCCATTCTGGTTGTAGCATCATATTCATTTGTTGTCGCATTTGTTGTTGCTGATGTGTTTGTTGAGTTTGTTGATTCACCATATAACTTAGTTCGTTGGAGGGTGCGTCAGCAATAGAAGTGGGATCCGATGATAGATTAATGACCGTGTTGGTTCCAAGCATTTCGTTGAGAACATTCAAAACTTTCTCTGCCACAGGAAAACTCTTTGATATATCTCTTGTGAGTTGTTTGAATGACAAAAGAACTCGATTGAATTCGCTGTCATCCAGAACAAGCAGACCGCTTTTGTCTTGCTCTGCATTCTCGCTTCGTCCATGTTTACCCAAATGGCTACTCCTTGAACGTTGGTGATATTGCCATATAAGAACCGTACCAGCCAAACAAAGTGGATAGAGGACAACCGGAGCGCCAGCACAATGTCGATCGGTAGATAAGATACGCGTAGCGGTCTCTACAATGTTTCGGGCAGCGACAGTGCAACATGCAGCAGCTACCTTGGTTTCAGTTGGTCCTGAAGTTTCTGTAACCTCGATATGTTTCAAAGTTTTGTCCACTTTTCCAGCCCCATAATCTTCCTTGCTCTGGTCCTTTTTACCGGCCTCTTCATTTGCTACAGGTTTGGGAGATTCTGGTTCAGTATCCATGCGTCGTTTGTTTCCTGAATTAGTCTTCTGTTTGGAGGGAACCCATCCAGCTGCATCGCCAAAGAATTTGAGAGCGGGCAATGCCTTTGATCGGTAGAGTTGAATGGTCAAGATATCATGGTATAGAGATAAGATGGAGGCAGGTAAATGGATTGAGGATTCATTTGTCGAACGTTCAACTCCTTTTCGTTGCTTTGCCATGAATGACGATGACCATACTTTCAGCTTGTCAAGTTTGCTCTTGATATTGCAATGAAAAGAAAATTGACAAAAGAATCAGATGAGTAAATGCGAATGTATAGTGTTGAGAGGATCTGCTCCTAAATAGCTTACCTTGAGCTGAGCGCAGCTACTGCTGCTTGGGGATCGGAATATAGTCTTCATACTATCGATATAGACGTCTACTACTTGCATTGCCCAATCTCGGGGTTCTATACGTTTTGATGGTGGCAGTATTTTTGGTACATCTTTCGGCATGTCACCCACCATAGGTGGTCTATCGAGGTATACAGCAAACCATACATCCCAACCACGAATGACTTTCCAAAGATTGCATAATCGTTCGTACTCTTCGGCGTTGACTTTATCGGTGGTAATCCAAAGACGTCTCGCATCATCGACTTCTGCATTATAGAACTGTGTAAACTGCTGTTGACTGGTTATATGGGTAGACAACTTGTGTAGTCCAAGCCTTTCGGCAAAGGTGAGGCCAATCTTGAAGGTTAAGAACGCCTGTTCTTCGGACAAAGTAGCGCATTGATAATGCGTAAGCAAGACCGACGTTTTCGCCAATATAGATAGTTGCTCCATAATAGGCTCGGCTGGATGAGCCGGATGAGAAGCAGGAAAGACGTTTGTCGTAAATATTCTATAGGCTTGGTGATAGTATACTTCAGAGCATTGGCGAGAGAGTTCGGCAATATCGGGAGCCGAAATAGAAAGTGACTGCGAGGCACATAGAAACACATTGGCAAAAATGGCATATACAAGCATGGTCTCGTCACATCCAGATGCGGCAGACTGCGTCTTGAGAAAAGGTTTTTCTGAAAGCTTTGATTTCCAGTTGGAAGCTGTCTGTTTGTTGGTTGCGTTTGATGTATCAATAAACGCACTATACAAGTAATTATGGCAGGTATGAAGTTTCAACATTTCGCAGCCGAGGTTATCTGGCACTGGGAGTTTAGAGATATGTTCATTCTTGGTGTTATTGGGGCCATGATGCTGCTGCTGCTGTTTTTGAGACCATTGTCTCATGAAGGTTACAAAGGCCATCCATATGGTATGAGGCTGCGATGAAAGATTATAGAAATCAAACATTAGTGGTGGCAATCGTGTGTCACTGATGTAAGCTCGAGCCTGATTGGCTCTGACGGACGGCGGGTGACTCCGTATATAGGCGTACAAGTCATTGGCAAAAGATATGTTAGAACTAGGTGGCATGATGGTGGCGGGTTCCGCATCACTCCCTGAAGGCATTTCCAGTGGTTCGGGAAGGTTAGTTCGGGAAGGAGCAGACTTTTCCTGACCAGCAGATTGCGTTTGCTTCTTCCCATCTTCTAGACAGGTTTCAGTTTTTACAATGTTCCTGTCTCGTTCCTGCTTTAATACATGAAGCTGAGCTTCGAGATCGTGAATTCTACGTTGATAGATATCGCATTGACAGTTAACGTCGCTATGTTTATCGGAGCTAGTGCTCAATCGCCTTTCCTCTTCATGCAAATTTGGCGTGGAAGATGACAATGTTTGTACCGCAGGCTGTGAACTTTGCCGCCTTGGTTGGGTTATTTTTTCATCGTATTCACAAATTGTAGATGTCTTTTCGCATCTTGCACATGGCCGAGCTAATGATCGAAATGAAAAATACCAACGTTTAACAAGGCGGAATTTTGACAGCCGAGGATGACCCAAAAAAAAAGGTTTTACCTCCGTCGCATCTCATCTTTTTCGTTCGGCAGCATATGCAAGCTCGTGGTACTTTTTGCCGTTTGAATGGAAAATCCTCTTTTGAGCAAGAGTGCCACTTGAACGCGCTAGACATTTTCCGGTAAAAGGGCTATAAAAGTTGGTGCAAAGCCCTAATGGTGAATGTCGTTTTCGAGAAAGAGGGCTGTGGTTGAAAAATATTAGAAGGGAGATAATGAATTTTTGTATTCCGAAACATAAGAAAGGAAGCAAAGGCGTGCTGAAGCTTACCTAATAGCCAGAATGGTGGAAGTTGCGGTGTGCGTAGGTAAGTCAATGGGAAATGCAAGTAAGATTGAACCAACGTGATTTTTAGCGGATTCAAAATGTAAGCAACACAAGGAGAGATCCGAATCCGGACGACCGGAGAATGGACCTGACTAGATTTACAAGAAGGTGGAATAGAAAAGCCGGGCAAGGATGTCCAGAATACCTCTTGTTGAATGAAGTATGTATGTTCAACTCTAGTAACTAAGAGAAAGAAAAGGGGATATTTTTTACAGCAAGAGAAGATCCAGAAAAAAATTATCAACGCAGCAAAAAAACAAATGGGACCTGGGGCAGAGGCTTGTTGTTGATGAAGTTTAGAAAAGGAGAACGGAAGCCAAGCGACGTAGAGAGACTAAAGAGGTCACAATCGGGAGCCAAGATCTAGATTGCTCGATGATTTTGACAGTAAAATAATGAAAAGAAATGATGAAGCATTCCCCATAGGTTTTTTTTTTTTTTGACAACTAGCTAGTTAGAAAAAAGGCAAGGCAACGTAAGGCAAAAATAAACTGTGTGTGTGTCGCAATCCCCTATCCACATTACTACACTGACTCGCCCATGTGGAGGAGGAAGGGGGAAAGAATATACGCCGCACTCTTTTGCATGATTGGACAACACTATCTTGCACAAATCCGCCTTACGCCGACTTTTCTTTCCTTCCACCAAAGCAAAAAAAAAAATTAATGCTTGCTTTTGCCCAGCCCATATACGTAGTCGTCGGTCCACCTTCCGGGTCAGGTCTGTTTTGTTGTCATCACGTGTGGACTTTACCGCATGCTGGAAAAAGAGAAAAATGAGTAAACATTACAATCACGTCCAGTCATGTTCTGCCAACAGAAATTAGATGCTCCAATCAACCTGGACTCCACCAATTTCGGATCGCGAGACCTTACAGCATAGAACCTATTTCTTTATTAGAATTATCAACACTTCGGATAGACTACCCCACCCAGCAAGCATGGAGGAGTGGATATCAAACTCCGCATAAACAACTAAAGGACATGGCGGTGAGCACTTCCATTCCCAATTGCAGCGTGATGCCGATCCCGTAAGATCGCATATCTCGTGAGTCTGCCCTTAATTCTCACACTTAAGGGAGATCATGATGGATTGGGTGGGTGGCTACGTTGTTAACATGTCCATTTATAGGGGATCAGGTACCGATATGGCCTGCATGGCAACCCTGCTTTGCCACTTTACAGGAGCCCACAGCGATGTTCCTACGACAAAATGGTGAAAAATTACATCGATTGAGGTCAGGCCGTAAGGATTCCACATGATTTACATGCGTTCAAAGGGTAATCGGTGTTATACGCGCACTTGTTTAAAATTCATGCTTTGTTTTTCTCCAAGCAAACACCTGTGTCTGAAAGTTACTGTGAGGCACCTTTCCGCCTTTTTCAGTATCCCATTCAACCCTGTCGATACTTATGACTTGACATGTACGTGCCTTAATTGTTTATATTCTCCGGTGCCATTTGTAGGTCTCTCTGTGCGTGTTTTTTCTGGTATGGAATACGTTTGCAGCTCGCAAGTATGGTATGCAAATGTTCGACTGTTTGCAATCTGATACCGGCCATATATGAAGGAAGAAACAAACGTAGACTCTGTATCTGTGGACAGTCACAGTTATTAGATCAGGTGCCTCCTAAGGCAACGACTGTTCGAGTCTATCCGTCCGAGAGGTACAACGATTCGTTAACCACAACTCCAAATAACACCCTAGCCTGCCTTACGAAGTATCATCGACTTTACCATAGTAGTCTCATGGGCTTCAAACAACAGGAAGAACATAACCATCTGGTCATAAGTAATAGTGCACGACTACCGAATCTGCTCTGTCCGACCGTTACGATGATTGGATTGGATGGAAAAAAGGGGGAAATAACAAACACCAGGTGCTAATGTAATTTCCGTTTTTAATGATTTTTACTTTTTTTTTTTTCAGGATTTGCGTTTGGTATCTACGCTTTGTATTGAGAAACGAATCGAATGTTTTCGAGAGAAATAATATATGGGAGCATGGTCCCCCAAGACTTCCCTTCACATCATAGAGACCGCCGATGTCTGAAATTGTGGCCAAGCCAAGATTGAGAATTTCGGTCTGGAAGGTACAGAGATGATATTTGATACGAAAACCAGTCATTTGCAACACTTGACCGACAAAAAGTCGTACAAAATTTCGTATCAATAAATATTCATAAAGCAGCTGTATGACAGGACTTTCCCTGTCGACGCTTGTCCGCCAGATTTTCACCGAATAAGTGTACGTCAACAATGGCGTCAGGCAAATACAAGGGGGATGCAATCGGAAATGTCAACATGACGGCGATGGACAGTTTGACAGCAAACGTTCCTGTAAGAAGTGAATGTTAAAACTAAATCACTTTTTAAGCTTGAAATACTGACTCATAGCCTGAGAGCATCCTTAGACCATATAACATAATCCATGATCAGTGTGCTGTATATCTGAAGGATTTTAACCATAGATGTCCCATCAACTTTTACATCATTCATCGTAGACCATTGACAATATTTCAAATGACATCAATATAGTAAATCAGTGTCTTCTTTTCATTTCAAACCCAAACCAATCAATGACATTTTGCAGTGCCGCCGGTCTGCCGGGATGCTTTATCCCGATCTACCTTGACTGAGTACGCATATGTTTTGTTCTATGCCTTATTATCACCATCACACTGACTTGATTTTCCTTGGTGTTGATGCAAAGATATATATATATATATATATCGGATCATACACAAAAGCTGTTAAAAAATATTACGACGACCTCATTCTTAAATGCATGTGGCCTGTCAATTAGTGATTCTCAAAACTTGGAGAATCGCATCTCCCCCGGCCGACAACCGGAGTACTGAAGGACAGGTCGGCTTGCCACGCTGAAGCCAAATTTTTTATTTTAAATTTTTGTGTAGCGAAGGAAAATGCCTTTCATTAATTATCGTCACCTTATATTATCGGCTACCATCTGTGCGCTTGAATGCTCCTGTCGCATGGCATCCGTCATTCTGCTGTATTGGCCATCAAATTCACTCTTCTTATTGTTCTCTTTCTCCTAATCATTATAGTACTTTGATCTTTCACTCCTGTTTTATCTTCATAGACGCACGATGTAAAAGACTTGTTTTAGAATGGCCTTGTACCCAACAACTATCAACTTCATCTTTCACAATGGCCGGGAAAGTCATAGTGCCAGAGGGCGGCGTCTCAAACCTTGGATAGATATATCGCTTTGATACAGGGCCTGAACAAATTGGTGCAGCTGGGATGAAATCGCGAATTAACTGCTTTAATGCCCCGCCGTATGCAAACAACCCCAACGCCAAATATATATGCACCAAAAAAAAACGCCATCATAGAATTCGATGAATGAACGTAGAGGAACAGCCTGTATCTTCATATGTGCAAATTATGCAGCTTCTGGCTTGTATCCAATTTACCTTTTCGACCACAAGTCATGCAGCGTTCACACGGATTCACCTTGCCTTATCCGGAAGAAATCACCTCTAAGCTTTAATTGCTTCCAGTCCTTTTTCTGTTAAGAGTGAAGCGAAAATAACCATGCTGTATCGAACAAAACAGTCATTTTCCAGGTTAGATTGGTGCATCATTAAATTATGCTAGGTGGTAAGATACTGTACCTGTAGCTCCTGAATATTATTTTCCATGGCAGGTTCCCACATTACCACAATCAATCAAATAAATTCCCCCAAGTCGTAAAAATGGTGATGCGAACGAACAGTTGGGAAAACAGGATTTTTTGTCAGGCTTTAAAGTCTGCCGCTCATCCAAAATGAAGTCCCACAAGATCTCAAATGGTCCCCCTCATTTTTCTCGTAACACCTCGTCTGGGCTTGATCTGCATGTGAAGTGAGAGAAGAGCACAAACCCAACCCGAACCTTTTTTTCTCTGAGCAGTGAAGCTTCCTTCTCTTTTCTTCTTTACTCTCTTCTTCTCTTTCTATATAGCTTGGTTTCGTCATCTAGTTCGACTGACCACTGTCGTCAACTTGTTCTAGTTTCCAACCATTGATATATCCACTAAAGAAAAAAACTAAGCGAAGCTAGGCCATCTCGCTCCTGTGTTTATCTTATTGTATGGTTATGTCGCCACCATTCATGCCACTACCAAACATTGACCAAGATATGTCCAACTTGAGCCTAGATTTCAACGACGCTTCTTTTCCACATGCTAGCAGCAATGACCCGGTTGAGGACTTGTACCGGCTCATCGAGCAGATTGCGAATATGGAACTGAGGGAGAATATCATGCAGCATGCGCAGCTGATCCTACGTCGTCAGCAACAACAAATTACCTCACTAGAAAGATTAAATCGCGATAACAGTGCATCAATAGCGGATCAGCAGATAAAGTATGAAAAGGCGGTTCGAGAAATGCAATTCTTTAAAAAGAAATATGAAAAATTAAGTGAGGTCAGCAAACTTAAAGCTCAACGAAGGCGAAGTTACTCCACTGATTCGGGATCCACCTACGATCCCAGACCCTTGTTACCGCCCCCCGAACAACCGCCTCTTCCGGTACAACATAGACACTCCCCAATCAAGAACATTCCGCCCCAACTAGAGCAGCAACATCACAATAAACAGGAGCCTGTGCACGATGAGCCTAAACGCCGTGGTGATACAATGTCACCAAGGACTGGCCCAACGCATCCAGATGCATCATTGTACTCAAGCTCGCCACCTCCTCCAAGCTCACCCAACCTATCTCACCGACAACGACAGCCATCGCTGGTTAGCCAAGTCATGTCATTAGACGGCACTTTGACCTCCACCACATCGTCAGGCTCTTATGAAGCCTACTCACCTTACACGTCTGCCACCCTATACTCCATAGAAGAACCTTCTGAACCAATGCCTGTTATGCCAACTACACCTCCCAATGCACCCACTGTGCCTCCACGAAGGAAAAAACTATCTCAATCCTCTAACCCACCTGTTCAAAATGTTGGTCAACCTGTCAATCCTTCACCACAATATCATCAAAAGCGTTTAGAGTCGCTGTCTTTCGGAGGCTCGGATGGTTTCTGGGATACCATCTCACAAAATCCTCAAGATGGAGCTGTTGAACGGCTTATCAGGTAAAAGTGACCGCCCTTTTTGTTTGTTTGTTCCGTTACTCCGAGTGCATCGTGAGTGACACTGAAAAGGTACCTATTGTCTTACGCTCCCTCCATTCAAAAGCAACTTTATACGTCGTGGCGGATCACCCAATACGGCAAGACAGAATGCAGGTCCCAATCAAAGTATACGGGAAGGTTTTGGATTGATTCATGCCGCCATTCTTCAACAAAATGCATCGGTATTGGATATGTTGCTACAGAATGGAGCCAATCCTAATGCCAACACCCTGTCCACTTCCGAAGAAGATAAACTCTCTCCATGCTATTTGGCAGCCAGCGTGGGATGGACAGAAGGATTACATATGCTCGCGGAAGCCAGAGCCGACATGGTCAATTGTAGAGGCTTCGGCAACCGGCAGCGGACCACACTGCATGGAGCAGTGGAAAAAAATCATATTCAAGCAGCACAAGTGGTCACCATGTACACCGAAGGTGTTCTGACCAATATTCCGGATGCAAACGGTTAGTATGGGTTGTGCACAAACAGTGTTTGTGTGTGGATCGGTTTTACTTATGACTAATGGAACGGGGTGGTGTCATATTTTTTCTTTCTTTTAGGAGCTACACCTGTACACTACGCAAGTGCAACGGGTAACCAAGCCATTTTACTTTATCTATTGCAAGAGTGCCGTGCCGAAGTGATTGTTTATGATGTCAATTACGAGACGCCACTGCATTATGCTGCACGACGAGGCAAAGTGGAAGTCATGTCTATGTTGATAGAGCAATTTCACGTCGATCCTAATATTTATGTGCCCCGCAAAGTTGGAACTCCGCTTGATGCGGCTAAAACCAGTGGTCAGAAAAAAGCGGTCGAGTACCTGAAAAGTCGAGGAGCCACTAATGCCAAAAAATTGGACAAGAAACGAGAAGAAGAACTGGCCAAGGAAAAACCTGCTCACCTTGAAGCAACGCTTCTCAAGAACGGACTATTGGCTGATAGTTTCTAGATGGGAATCCAACTGCCTTTTATAGCCTTTGCATGTTGTTGTGACGCGGGAAAGAGAATAGCTATTATCTTTTTCATCTCATGGGCAGCTTGGGAGAAGAAGGATGAAACCATATAAATAAAAACCATGCTATGATCACCTTTGACATTGAATGGCATCATTTTCAAGCTTTTTTATCGTCAAACTGTAGAGACAACGACTTCATAAGATATGCTTCACTGTCTTGCTCGATGAACAAGGGAAAAAAAAAGAAAAAAAAACCGGCCTTGTGACACATCTGAAGCACGCGAAGCACCAGTTTTTCCTTACCTCAGCCTCGCCTCCTCTCTCCTCTTGTCCGCCCCCCACTTCGGCTTGGGATCGTACTTGTTTGTTTTGCTTTCTCATTTACCTTTCCTTTCTTCATCCTTCTTCTTTACTCCAAATGCCGTTGAAAGGCGTTACTGACCAACTACGTGGTCGACTTTTGAAGCGTCAAAGCACTACCATTTCAAAAACATCCCTTGACCAAACTCCTCCAAAACCACCACCGAAATCTCAGAATCAATCACCACATCAGCCTGCATCAGATGATAAACACCGCTCAGACGCTGCAAAGAAACGTGAACAGATAGCTAAAGAAAAAGCTGCTGCTGCTGCTCAACTAGGCACCAACTCGGATGCTCTGCTTCGTGGTATTGGCGACTATGAGTTCCTAACCTCACTGGGAACCGGCAAGTTCAGTCGAGTTGTCCTGGCCAAACACACTGTTACCTGCCAATCCTATGCTATCAAGGTACACTCTTCTTTTTCTTGTAAGGAACCATAGCAATGAATCCATACTGACGCTATCCTCTTTACCCTCTATAAAAAACTCAAAAAAAAATAGATCATAGATAAGCGTCTGCATGATTATCGAGTCATGTCTAGACTTGTACGCGAAATATCTTTGATGGAACTGCTATCGCATGAAAATGTCGTCAAACTTTACGAAACCTTCGAAACAGCAGAGTCGCTGTTCCTTGTTCTGGAATTCATTCCAGGTGTCAACCTGGATGAACACCTCCAGCGCTCTGGTGGGTCCTTAAGTGAGCCCGAAGCACGTGCTATCTTTCGCCAGATGGTCACAGCTGTGAGCTATTGCCACTCACGCTGGGTCGTCCATCGAGATCTCAAGGTAAAAATACTTTCTACCGATGAATCACCTTCTACTGCTTGCTTGTTGCTCATTCACCTCCTTCCACATTTAGACCCCTAATGTCCTTTTGCGACCTGATGGCGTCGTCAAGTTGGCTGACTTTGGTCTAGGCAACCGATTTGGTTTGCAACGACTTAAAACTATCTGTGGTAGGTGATTCGTTTACTGCCATGTTGTTTCGTTCTCTGATCCAAAAGCAAACCTGATCTGATCTGACCTTACATTGCTGTTTAGGCTCCATGCTTTATTACTCGCCAGAGATCATCAGTGGCCAAAAATACACTGGTCCCGAAGTAGACTGCTGGTGCCTTGGAATATCTTTGTTTAGAATGACGGCTGGATTTGAGCCATTTTCACATGCGCATAGTAAGTGAAACAGTTAAGATATATCTATTTCAACACCCCCCTTTTTCTCAACCCATACCCCGTTTTTTTTTTCTCTGCTCCTTCAGCTGTCGGAGAGCTCAAAAAAGATGTCCTCAATGGCAACTTTCCTATGCCCTCTCAATTGAGCCCGGACCTTCAAGTCACAATCCGAAAGTGTCTCAATATTGACCGTCGACATAGAATGTCGATCAAGCAAGCGCTAAAGGGTGATCCATGGTTGAACAACTATGGAAAACTTCCTGATCCCATCATTCGTTCACCGACTTCTGCGTTTGACGACTTCTCCGACATGGATGATAGCATTAGTTCACGGAGCGAGATGGAAAAGCGAACAAGGAGACAGCATATTAAGGATTTGGAAGAAGAGAAGCACCGTGGCTACCGAGTGAAGCGAACTATTGTATACCACCCCATCAATATGACCACGTATTTTACGACACCATTGCCACACCATCCAAAGCTAGAAGAGAACGTACGAAACCAAGAGATGTTGCGAGCCGATATCTTGCAGGACATTCGTACAAAGTGTCGAAGATTAGGCATTCGACAAACTGATACAGCCAGTAACAATGAGAGTCGTCTTCCTTTCCGTTTGTTCAGCAAGCTGACCTTACGAAAGCGACAAGATGAAGTCGAAGGAGCACTGGCTTATGGATCTCTTCGGCGGAGTGGATCAAGTCTGTTGCTCAATAAGTTTTCTACTCGGTTGAGCAAAGACACCCATTACTATTTTACCATTCAAGCCGTTCACGGACTTTCCTCCACCACTGCCGTTTCCAGTTCATCGGGTTCCACATTTTCCAACTTGGATAGTAACGTCCCTACCTCACCCGCATTAGCCCAATCCACATCCTTGGAGATTCAACGTCTAGATGAACGTGAAATGATGAACCTTGTGCGATCTGCTTGCGAACTTTTGGGCGTCACTTACTTTTGTGAAGAAGAGGATAAACTTTCCTGTATTCTGGCATTGAAGAGCAGGTCCTCACAAGATCAGATGCAAAATGGATCATCTTCCATCTTACCAAGGAGTAGTCTTCCTACCAGCCCTTCATCGCCCACCTTGGTCAACAACCAGGGATATTTGGAAAACCGAAGTAGCCTGGATAAATCCAGCGATAACGGTAGTCAAAAATGGGTTGGCAAATTGCGTAAACGACTCTCCCTTCCTCTCGGCCATATCAACCTAATGCAATCGTCTTATGCAAGCTCGGCGGTTGGCAGTACGCATGGAACCATCGACAGTTCCAATGGCAAGTCCTCCAAAAAGATGGAATCCTCCCAATTTACTAACACCCCACCGAGTAAAGAAGGTAGTGCCTTGTTTACCATTGAGGTGTTTTCTGTTCCAAACAACACTGGTCGACGAGTGGTTGCCATTAAGTTCGCCAAGACGAAAGGCTCCAACAAAGTCTTCAAGTTAGCTAGTGGATGGATCGGTGGGGTATTAGGTGCTAGCGCCAATTCTCGTGATGTAGAGGTCAGAACTCGTTATTGAAATGAGGACACCTTTTTCACTACATCTACCCCCCTCATTTGTTAAACCTCTCCGTACCCATCCCCGCCTAACATACCATTTACTGTAATTTAGTGAAAACCACATTCGCACACACACCCTTGCCTTTCATTTCATTCTATGATTTCCATATTTTGTAGTAATTTGTGTATGACCATTTGATAACTGCTTTTTCTTTTCTTCCTTTTCTTCTAAGTACTTTTTTTTTATAACTATTTTGGCTTTTTCCCTGTAATCAACATGAATTCAACATGAATATATATCCTGTGCATTGGAAGTAAAGAATTGCTTATCATTAAAGCAACAACCACATCATGAGTAATTAGTTTGCCTTTCCATAGCATGCTGTATTTAAATGACGAAGACTGATAGTGCGCGATGGTGTTTCCACAGCACTCAAACATCGAGTCGAGCTGAGTAAGGTACTTGCATCCTTGTGCAGACAGAGTCAATTCCACATGGACGCCCAACCAACAATGGTAGCCCGCCACGAGCCGTTGAGCCAATCCATTTAGCGCACATTATTTTTTTCTTAAGAAAGAAAAAAAGGGTTCCTGCCATTTTGCTCATTGCGCACATCTCTTCACCTGCATTTTCACCATGCCTCCACAAAGTAAGCTTTTTCTTCTCTATCCCGCTGCGGCATTACCACTCACCATCAACCCTCAGGAGTGAAACCTGCAGGATGGCTAGACTTCCTCTCTGAATACCCCGACGTGTTAAGGTACGGTTTCAAATTCACTAACGCTGTTCAGAAACGTAGCCAGCGTAATTTATTTTTTTGTTGTTTGACCTCCACTTTAGATGGCGAGGATCGGTATGTGTTGCGGAGATAGCGAAATTAAATAGAAGGGGATACTCGCTAAACCGTTGTTACTCTTCTAGGTGTGGCCTTCTATCCTACCCAGCGTGTTAACAATGGGCCTATTTGCCACCTTGATCGCCGTATTATACCTCCATTTCGGTTTCACCAAGCTATCATTACCAAACGCAGTGATCCCGTCATTGTCTGTGGTACTTGGTCTGTTGCTGGCATTTCGAGCTAACACCTCGTATGCGCGATTTTATGAAGGAAGACAAATATGGGAACAGATCACCAGTAATTCTCGAAATCTGGCAAGGTTGGTGTGGTGCGCCATCCCAGAGCGAACGCAGAGTGAGCATCTGGAGAAAATGCGCTGTATGAAACTGTTGCTGGCTTTTGCAGTCGCTACCAAACATCATATCAGAAAGGAAATGGGCTGCAATTATTATGACTTGGATCATTTGTTGCCGCCAAACTGGATACCTGCTGCCGCCAACGACAAAACACAATACCCACAAGCGGCAGAAGATACGTCTCAGTCTCCAGCCGCTGCTCTATTTGCCAGCACCGAAACCACTTCGCAAGGCCCGCTGGCAAACCAAACCGGCGATAACCCTGACGATCCAGCCACTGGACACCGCCCTGTCCTATTTCGCAAATTCGTCAGCGATGAAGATTTGCCTGACGAGGCCGATGCAGATATGTCGTTGCCTTTGGAAATCGTGTTTCGTATAGGTCTTTACATTGCTCAAATGAAAAATACCAACAGGATTGATGGAAACATTGTCGGCACCATTACCACGCATCTCAATAACTTGATTGATTGTTTGGGAAGTTTAGAACGCATTGTAAACACTCCTATTCCTCGAGCATACAACATTCATCTGTAAGTAAAGAAAGAACTTGTGTACGATCAAGGCAAGGCAGCTGCTAAGCAATGACCTAAACCATGTACTGTACAGAAAACAAGGCTTAGCACTGTACCTACTGGCTGTCCCATTTACGTTGATAGCTGATCTCAAGTGGTGGATCATTCCAACCGTAATATTAGTCTCTTTCACGCTGTTTGGTATTGAAGGCATTGGAGCCCAGATAGGTAAGCGAGGGAACCAGAAAATACATTTCAAAGTACGGTGCATTCCTTCAGGTACGCTGACACCATACGTTTGCACAGAAAACCCATTCATGTATTCCTCCAATGATCTTCCCCTGAATCAATTCTGTGACCAGCTTCGAAAGGAAATAGAGTACATTATTTACCATATCCCCAGCGAGACTGAGAATGTGTTGATGCATGGACGATAAATACATCCCCCCTCACTCCAATGTAAAGACACCCAGATCCTCCGTTATATACAACTTGAAATATATATATATTTATATTACATGATACATATTAATACAAGTACACCAAGTGTACGGGCTGTTACTTTTTGTTATAATTTAGTATCTGCGACGGCGGGGTGTAAGATCACCTGGTCGAGGACCGCAAGTAACCAAAAGTGCGTGGATAACCTGTAGAGGGGATCAATGTTAAGAAAACAATACCGGTGTATTTGATATAGAGAGTATTCAAAAGAACTTACACCAGGCAACCAACCCAGAAGAGTGAGAAGAATGTTGATGACGAGTGAGCATCCACAACCTCGGACGAGGAAGACAGCGACGGGGGGAAGGATGAAAGCGAGAAGGGTTTCGATAACGACAGCGCAAGCAACTGATTCGAGCACAGATCAATAAACTATATCATCCAACTTTTTGCAATGCGTTGAGGTGACTTACTAGCCATAGTGTATAAGAGAGATCTAAAATAGGTGAGTGAAGTGCACCAGCCAAGGAGAAAAAAAGCTTTTCTTTTATGCGATTTCGGTGGTTGCCAAAATAGGAAACTGACACCATTTCCTTCCAACGTCATCGATGTCATGACAGCATCCCCCGCATTCGGTAGGTGGTGTTCGTTTGAATGATATCAAACAAAAAAATGCCCCCCTTTAATGTTCCACAGCCGTTGATTCTGGATCATATTTATTTTCGTGCACATCCCGTAAATCTACCTTGTATGACGTGTCTATCATATAGGTCAAGTGAAACATAGGAGTGTTTGTGGACTTGGATACTCTTAGCGTCTTGGCATGTACAGAACAAAAGTGCCAAGATATGATTGAGCGATCACGACATAGCGGTTGGATAGCTTGAAAAGGGAGAGGTCTTGGAGTAAATATGAAAAAAATAATGTGGCAACGCACGGCAACAATGACAAAAGAATGAGAGGAGAGAAAATGAAGGAAAACGAGACATAGCAAATGTGGCCTTTCAATGAGGGAAGGTAAGTGAATGAATATGGTAAGTTGAAATGTCATATGGCGGTTGAAAACATTTTTCCCTAAAAATTTAACAAGCCAAGAGTTTTTTATGAAAGAATGAAAGTTGGTCTCTTCAACGCTATCATTATATCATATGACAATAGACAAAAGGTGTGAGCTCGTCCGCTTTGTCACTGAATACGATCAAAAATATGTCCATCGACCCTCATTTACATTGAATTTCAAATTATCAACGCATGTAAAATCGTAAATTTTGTCATAAGTGAGATTTAGAGATTGTATTTCAAGCAATTGAAAGAAAAAACAATTTATACATTGAGAGGAGATGGTAAAACATTCAAAAAATATGGGGTCGCATAGGTAAGGTAGCTAGTTAGTTATGTGGGAATAGGTCAATAAAGGATAGTAATATGTAGTCTAAGTGGGTTGGAATAACAAAATGGTGTGCCATTCTCTTATGCTTATAAGAAGAGGGAGGCTGAGGCAGGAATGAGCAACCCAATGGTAGCAGCAGTAAGATAGTTCTTGGAGCTTGGAGCGAGGTGGAACCCAGCAGAGTGGGTAGGAGTGCCAACGATAGTGATGCTACCAATGGCGGTAACATTGGGAGCGGGAGCAAAATCAGTTGCTGAAGCTGAAGGCATGGCAAAGCCGTTAACGATGACAGGGCCATTGGTAGCAGTGGGAGCTTCGGTTGCGTCAGGCATAGGAGCAGCCATGGCAGAGGCGATGAGAACAGAGACGAGAGCGAGGTTGAACTTCATGGTTTGGATTGATGTGTGTGTTGATGATAATGAAAATACTTTGCATGAGAGACCTTGACCTTTATATACCAGAATGGCAGATTTTTTTTTCTTCCAAAAAAAAAAAACGAGTGTTCTTTGTCGGTACGGTACGGCTCCTGGAATCCTGTCGATTGGTAATTCGTGATGACCTTGCATCTTCCTCGTTCCGCTTGCCGTATATGGTCAAGTTAAAGCGATCGCATGTGAAAATTTGACGAAGTTCCTGTCTGCATGGCAGCTTTGACTCTGAATCGAGGAACTGTTGAACATGACATACTGCTGAACGTACGTGGCGATTACTTGAATAGGGACTCAGACCCCAAATTCTTTTCTGGCATCAACATTGCCTGCTTCAAAGGACGCGTTGTTAAACGTCGGAACCACAATCTCGTCATATGCATATGGCTATCATGTCGCTTGTTCTCTTCGTTGTACATCCCATTTGTGACAAGAATGATGCGTACTGCCTTGCTTGGTAACCACTTCTCGTCAATTCGTTCTATCATTATCTAATTCATATGATATTCAATTGATAACAAGTTTTATTTGGTCATCCTTTCACAATGGCGATGGGGCAATCTACTTATCATCTCAAAAAAAAAAAAAAGTTACCAACCTTCATGACTGGTCCACCCAAAAATTTTAGCTATTCGCTATAGCATAATGGTTAAAGGGATCAGTGTGGCCGTCCTACGCAAGGGCTGGTGGAATCCTCGGGAAACGACGACAAGCTTGGCTGAAGATCTAAGCCACAGCATTGAGCTTACCGACCAGACGGAAATAACGCTTGGGTCGTTTCTTTTTGGGAATAATGCATTTGGTTGACAGACAAAATGCCGTTTTATTACATTTGGTCATCAAAACGCCAAGGTGGCGTTGAAAAAAGTGCAGCGGTCGGACCCTTGTGCTTCTAAAAGCACGTACGTCACTTTAAGCTGACATGAAGGTTCGGTTGGACGAATCCAAATGGCAAGTTACGCACGCCGGACGTATCTATCCATTGGGGCAAGAAACCAAACGGCAGCCGAAACAAGTTCGTTTCTGTTTAGTGACTATAAACAAATTGACGACCGGGTCCTTTGGTCTCAATCCAGTTTTTTCAGGAGCACCAGCCAAAAAGAACCTTGGCCGATCCAAACCTGGTTTGCTTGTCCTTGGTTTAACACTTATTGCGGACCTCATAAACTGACATTCTTTTTTTTTAAAAAAGAAAATTCTCGTCTTATTATGAAAACACTATGCATCGCATATCTCGAAACAAAATATTATGAAGGGTGCTACAGGAAACCCAACGGCAGTACGTTTCAGTATGGAAGTTTAGGCTTTCCACGGGAGGCACTGTTAGGCTTTGTTACGTTTTTGGTTATCCATCATAATAAAAATGCCCATGTTGCAATAAAACAACGGAATATGAATCCCCCGTTTAGCGGTACTTCAACCCAATAAGTTGAGTTGATAACCTTAAAGCTCAAGTTTTCCCTTGGCCATCAAATTTTAAGCTACTAGTGATATGAAATCATCTCACTTACCATTTTACTTCATTGCCTTGAAGTACAAGCTTCGCTTTACTCATCCGATAATAGGCTGCGCAAACAGGTTCAACGATTTTTTGGTCTTTGATCTGCGCAGGTCGCACATTGTTATCTTTTTTTTTTTTTTTTTATCTGGGGGCGATTAGCCAATGACATTCTTAAATGTCTTGTTGTCGGGTCGGCTATCCCGCCGACAAAAATCGCTCAAGGCTGTTCATGCGCCTCCTGTTATCACGGAGATTGTATAGCGTTCAATGGAGTTGCAAAATGTCCCTGCATAGCCTATTAGGAGATGTGGCCACGCGCACTTATATGTGTCGGTTTGGAAGTGGAGTTTTTCTTCATGGATGTGAGCGTGTGAAACGTTGGATCGGTCGGACTCTCTTCCCCTTCACATTTCATTCTAGCTACTTCTGCTTCTGTTTCTGAGTAACAAAATATTATATCGCTATGATTGCGCCTCTTCCTTCTGAAATGTTTGTCGCCTTCCGAGTAGAATAAACATCAACGATCATGGGTCCACGCCGAGCCCGCAAATTGCTTGGTCTTTCTCCGAGCCCTGGTCTGCCTTGCCTTGCCATATTCCCAGCTCGATCACCATGGTTTCGGAGACGTCCCGAGGAACGTCCGAATGATTGCGGGGTGGAAATTGAGGTAGAACATGACCATACAAGGGCGACGCGAGGTCCATTGTACCGTAGCACATCTTCCCGGTAGCACTGAGCAATAGTGCGGGGTTAAAAAAAAAAGAGGTACTGGTTATCCCATGACCTCCGAATGGCGCTGGTTCACATTACCTTTTTTTTTTTTCCTTTGCCAAAGGAACACAGTTTCCCAATAGGCGGAGCAAGGCAGCGGCTGGAGTCCACTCAGCTTGCAGCTTTTATTGGTGCAAATGCGATCGTCTACCAATGCCCCCACTTTCTTATTGCTCTTCTTTGCTCTGCTTTCTAATAATATTGGCTTGGTAATAAACTTCTTGCTGCTTGTATCCCCATTGTTCACCTCTCTTCTTTCCCTTTGGGTCATTCAATCACGTTACTTGTCTATCTTAAAATTTTATACATTATTATTTTTTTCCATTCCTTTTGATTTTTTTTCCCTCTTAGCGCCACTGTAGTTATTTTTTTTTTGCTTTCTTCTTCTATTTTTTTTTTCATCCACAAGCCGTTTCTTACTCTTGTTCAAGGAGTGAAAGAAACACGCATACAATACAACGGCTTAGAACATCTGTGGTGGACCCTTTTTCTTCTTCCCTGTCTCTTCTGCTTTTTTAACTCCTCCCCTTCTTCCATCCCTCTCCACCCCTTCCCTTTGAAAAGGATACGTTAATGCCTCCAAGCCCACCTTCAAACAGGAAATTATCGAGCCTGCCCCAATCTCGCAACTCTTTGGTCGAACGATGTTCATCTTTTCGCAAATGTGAACCATGCAAACGCAGAAATCGCATCTGTAATGGCCAGAGACCATGTAGCCATTGCACAGATTCCAATATGGATTGCATCTACAGTGTTGTTTCCGAACATCCTAGAAGTGTTTTCACAACGAGCTCTGCGAGGCGCCTTAGTTCGGGTTCGGCTTGCGAAACTTGTCGGCGGAGAAAGACAAAATGTGATGGCGGGTCTCCGTGTGGATTTTGTCTTGCAAATGGTCACGAGTGCGTGAATAACTCTGAACGACGACGACGCTCTATGGGTCCCCCTACTGTTACGGCACCTAATGAAACAGAAGCTATGGATCGAATTGAAGATCGGTTACGTCGCATTGAAAAACTAATGACCGCTTTTACGCCGAGTCCACTGTCACAAAGTTCATCCACCGTTCAATACAGTGAAGAGGCGACTGCTGCTGCCAATATGCAACAACCGGTTAGGCAGCATCGGCATTCGGTACAAGGCATATCAGTGGCGAAAGAGCAAGCGGAATTGCGCGCTGCTTATGAGAGTATGAAAGGTATGTTTACGAAAGCCCCCCCTTGGGTCAAATGATGATGATGACTTACTTAAGCCCTCCTTTTCCACAGGACGATCTTCCAGTACTTCATCACCACGAAGACAAACAATACAAACAGACACCTTACCTACATCTTTGTCGGCAAGATATGTGTCACCACCTAATAGTACCGCCAGTGGTAACACTCCACCGTCCGGTAATACAGCGTTTTCTCCGCCACCGTTGACACGCTTGATGATCTCAGCCTCTCAGAGCTCTAATTTGCCCAAATCATCCAAAACTGAGCCGTCTTCACCACCACGATCAGGAATATCATATCTTATGCAAGAAAGCAAGAATTCAATAGACAAGGAAGAATCGCTTCCACCACATCAACTTCATCAACATCATCATTCCCTTTTAACCCCAACCACACCTCCACCTTCTAACCCATCCTCAGTGGACCTCAAAACAAACTTTTTACCTCGACCCAATTCCCCACTTGCATCCAACAATGCTGCTTATGGCTATGCAAGCAATGATATGGATTGGCAAGCAACTGTGAATGGCATGCCAAGTCTCATGGGTAAGTGGTTTCGCCCAACTTTGGGGATGCATGGCGCGCCGGGGGGCGGGCCTAGTCCCGTCCTGACATAATCTGACCTTTCCCTTGCTTATAGATCAATTGTCAAGGCGAACTTTTGGTCAGACCATGAATTATGCGCCAAACAACTTTCCTATCTATCCACTTACTCCTCCTCCAAGTCTCTCAAGAACTCATTCACCTAACAGCACATCTGGGGGCGAAATGGCTCGTACTATGGAATGAAAAAAAAAGTCTATTGTGTCTGTTCTCTCATGCCCGTGTGTATGTATGTTATTCGGAGCCTCGTGGTTTCTTTTTTAATGCGCAAGGAACAAAAAAAAAATGAGGGCAAGCAGCTGATATCTGCAGCTCATTTTTGTCTTTTTTGGGCTTCTGCTTTGAGGGCCATTTCAGAGAAGGGTGAGGGCTATAGCCTGGCCTTCAATACCCCCCATGTTACTCACTCAAGCGCCAACGTCGTCATTTTCAATTTATTTAATATATATACTGTTTTTTGCTTGATTTCTTAACACCTCTCTCTCTTTTTTTTTTTCTAAATTTTTACATCCATCGTTGCTGATTTCCCTCTTCTTTTATTTTCTACAAGTAAGAAAGATTCTACATAAAACCACCTAAAAAACTTTATATACCAAAAACCGTTTTTGCCCTTTCCGTACGTAACCCAGCATGCTTCTATATCGAAATTGTCCTCACGGGGTCAATATTCCCCATTTTGCAATGTGGAAGCCCAGGTTTTGAATCCCGGCTCGGAAGGGCTAAGCAATACCCGAGGTATCCAAATAAAATATGGGTGGTTCGATATCGTGCCCAATTCATTTACCAGAAGAACAAAGTATGAAAGGTTCGATAGCATTGTCCATGTCTGTGATATGCTTAGCCTAGTATTTGCTTTCATCTTGATCAATCTGATATTTTCACTGGACCTTAGTGCAACGTTGTTTTTTGGATTATGGTAACACCCGTCGTCAGGCTAGATGTGACGGTACGAGACTCCATCCACAACCCGAATTCTATGCTTCTCTTTATCTGGGAATGTGTTTTGGTATGTCAGCTTTATTGATGAGAAAAAAATTCCCATTAGGATTGCGCTACAAAGCCGTTTATGTGTTACAGAAAGCGAACCATTTTACGCCATGGTGGCTTCATTCATGCTTGTCTAGGTTAGCCATTGTCCGTAGACTATTCTAACGGATCTCGCTCTACCGAATTGAACATCTGAAACCGCTCATCCAACCCATAAACTGGGAAAAAAAAGGCCCAGTAGTATGGAGGGTCAGCAGAAACTGGGCGATCTTTATCAGATTATAGGTTATTCCGAGCGAAATTGTCACTATCCTCACTTGATTTTCCCATTGCTTGCGTAATATGGGCTACCAATCATCAATTCCGCCTAGCATTGTAAACAAGAAGTTCGGACGAAACAATGCCGGCCGTAATATCAGTAACCTTAATGAACAAGCAATGCAGAGAAAGCAGCGGAAATTTTTTTGGTTAATATTTCGGTAAAAATGTAAGCAGTGCTATCTTTTGAGAAAAGGAAAAGAATTATCTTCATTTAAAAATGGATCAAATTGGCTATATGCTTGTCGATATGCTTAGCATATGAAGTTTGTTTGCCATTCGAAAAAAAATTAGTCTCTCAGAAGACAATGCTACGACTTCTGGCCATTCGTTTGTTAAGAACTTGGAATAGTGCAATAACCATATTGAGATATATCCATGTCGGCATACAACCCGATACAGCACGAGAAGTTAGCCGTCTCAGCCGATGGCTAAACAGCCCTCTCAGAAGCCAGCATTCGGATAACACAACACCATATTTTACAATCGCGGAACGCAGGTTGACCCTAAAAAGAACAGAAAGCTACCGGCTGCAAAAAATTTCGACCGAGTGATAGACATATCTGTGACAAAATCACAGCTGTGTCAAATCTAAAAAGAGAAAGACAAATGAAGCAAAGACAATGCTGGTCGGCTTGGAACAAGCCCCGATCATTTTCTCGCTGATTTATCGTATTTTGATGAATATTCTGGATATGTACGATATGAAAGGATACTATCTCCTGATGAATAATGCTCAGAACATGCTCCATTAAGGTACGTGAACTGAGACGGCCGAGGATACAAGTGCCTGTAGCCTCCACCATATTTGCTCTACTTAAATCCGAATGAAGAGGTTTGGTCGAAGGTGAAGGCTGGTGTCAGGCGAAACATGTTGACTGCTGACGATCAGCTAAGTGACCGTATATGCCACGCTGTGCCAATGATTACTAGCAGACTGACAAGCATGGATTCGCCATGCGTTGCCATTTTTTTTTTTTGAAGGTGTAAGAAGGTAAGTCGTCCCCGAGTCCGAGAAACTTACCGCTATCTCAATCCAGGGTACTTTTGGGACATTTGATTTGGGAGCAAATTGCAATGAAATTTTCATCCGTTTAATTAAAATATACGCTTGCCGTATGTTCATTCGTTTCTTCATTTTGTGCCAAATATTTCTAATAAACAAGATATTCAACGCTTTACGATGAACACTTCTTTCATTAACTCTATCATTGTGGACAAATGATACCGATACTACAATAGTTATATTTTTTATCTGATATGTTGTTTTCTTCTTGGATCATAATATGCTATCAAGTCAGACATCTTATGAATGTTTACTCTATTTCTCAATCGTGATACCGTTCAATGAAATCGGAAAAAGTGATGACTTTTTATGCAAATATGAGGACACACTTCTGTCCCATCCGCATTCTTAGTACAACTTTAATTGCAAGGTTACAGCGTGTAGATTCTCATCATGGTAGGTGGTACGGAGCTCGACTTGAACTTGCGTACGACCATTACACACTCCAGGAACGTGGATTTGGTCGTGGCCGCTAGCTCAACCTTAATTGGCTATTATTGCCATAAAGATGAAGTGTAGCTGTCAGTAATTTGCACTTAGTGCGTCACTAGCATTTTCCTGTGATTTTCAGTGATCCAAAGAAACAGGTATGCAAGGATTTTCGATGTAAATGAGTCAAAATGGGTGATCTATTGCTCAAAAGGCTACCATGTATGTTTTCCGATTGCCAAATACACAGTGCGTGGGAAGCGCATCTCGTAATTTGCTCAACATTTTATAAATTGGTTCTGGACTCTAGCTCCAGATATCCTCCACTTTAAAGCTATGTCATAAAATTGCTGGGCTATTTTTGTAAATGGTCCCCATCCCTCACATACAATTTGGAGAACAACCAATAAGGTAACTGGCAGCACGGTCCATTGACATCTTTCAAAAAATGTTAATAGATATTTGGTTTAGGCGTTAAGGATTAACGTCATAAAAATATTAATATAAAAAAGTCTGCCATCCTAGATATCCAGACATTCGAAATAAAAAGTCTTTTTTAACAAAATGGATAATTCGAATTTGAAGCTTGTCTGTCAATGTAATGCTTTGCTTTTCCAATGGCCATCTTTCGCCCGAGAAAACTACTCTATACTTTGCATAAGCTATCCTTCCTTTGACTTTGATTGCTTTCCTCCTCTGAAATAGGAGATATCCCTGCTTCCAAGTATGAACCCTTGCTTTAATCTTCGAACTTAAAAGAAAGTAGGATGGAAAAAGGAGTGAAATTTGTGACCGTTCATGCACCAACTTGGCCAAACTGCGAAGCCCAGCCTTTTTTATTTTTTTAATACGCTTTGCATTATCGGCAGTGGCCTGGTGACTCTCAATTTCCTCTCTTGTTACTCTTACCGCATTGACTCCCATTTGAAACTTGTCCCATTCGAAATGCCTCTTCTGAGGTCCCCTTACTCTCATTGAAACTCTCACTAAATGCTCTTTTGACATGGCTCACTTAAACTTTACTCCTCCACCTACTCCCTCTGATACGCTGACAAATAGCGAACTTGTCGACATTGCACATCCTATGGTGAGTGCCTGAGTTCATTCTACCTCCTTTACTTGCATTTTGCTCGAAAATAGACCCACGCAGAAGAGTCAGCCTTTCAATATCTGAACGACTGGCTTTTCAATATACTTTCATCGGAACTAACTTTTTTTTTTTTTCTTGCCCGCTCGCAACTTACAGCGCCATGTTTGGAGGCACCGATATACCAATTCCCAGTCCTCTCTACACTACGAATCAAGCAAGCCCGCCGCACAGACAAATGAACTCAATGATAAAAAAGCAAAGCAGCTGCGACACCGAAGATCGACAGGAATGGTGATACAGAAATTTGATAGTACTACCTCGCAGCGTTCATTTTGGAGCACCGCATACATGCCTGAACTTGATAGGGATATTGCCAATCCTGAAAGCGAAGCTTTTGATAGCTTTGATCACCACAACTCTGATTTTAAATCAAGACGGCATTCTGCCAGACGATTTTACTCGGTGGAAAATATTCGTGAAAATTATACGCGGCCGGACACCTTTGTCACACAGTCGCATTTGACGACGCCAATGACGAGACCAAAAACCCGTCCAAGTCCGCTAAATCTGACGGACTCCTCGCAGAAGAAGATAAAGGAAAAAATGGACCAGAGACCGGCACAACCTTTACTTGGTATGGCCAGTGAAGACCAGCATACAAGTGCGAGCTTGGATATCGACGATGAATTTTCTAGCGTACGAGACCAAATTACACAAATTACCAGAGAACTCCAGCAAATGCAAATCGAAGAACTACAAATCCAGGAAAAAGTATTTGTTGATGATAGGAAGCAACGTCAAAAACTGATGGAGATCTCTCAACGAGATCGTATTCAACAGGGCAGACGGTTGAGCATATCCAACACCTATCAAGTTGAGCCAATTAACCAGAACTTTCACCGACACCATCGAGTTCGTAGTGACGGCAGCTTCTTTTCACACCAACAAACTCCGTCGCTCGATACCTTTGTTTCCTCCTCCTCCACTGATATTAGCTTGGCTCAAGACAGCCAACTCCTTTCAGATTCAAGTATAGATCATCATTTTCTGTCACCTCGCATTTGTGACATTCAAGGCCGACACATTGGTGATAGCGGTTACCGCGATATACAAAGCTACAATGATGAAAACGATGACGAACAAGACAATGACGATACCATTTATCAGTCGCTACCGGCCAGCCCCAACATGACTACTTTATTGCTCACAACCAACAGTCTCATAACGTCCCGCATGGAAGAAATGGCAAGATCCGTTAGTCCCCATCACCTCGAAGAGAAGATGTGGCAGAATGATTTTGTCGAAGTGATGACTCAGTGCATTCATCAGTCAGAAGAACTTGAGAGCCTTTCCACGGAACTTTTAAAAGTGGAACGACAGATGAGAGAGTTATTTCTTCTGAAATCAGCGCTGGAAGAGCAACTAGAGCAAACAGAATATTCGTACAACAACCAGATCGAACAATGCCATCGAGCCCTTGCTTTACAACGACAAATGATCAACGATCTGGACTACATGATGATTGACATTGACAGAAAAATTGATCTCAATAACCAACGATTACGCAGAAATGAACTTGATCAATATGATGCATTACGGAACCTAGGCGACGAAGTGACCGTTAGCAACATATTAGGACTGACTAAGAAGGAAGAACTGATTGCTCGTCTTCGATGGGAAGTTGGTCGCTTCATTGGCGGTGGGGTTGGTACTGGCTCTATCATTCATGCCTACGATTCACCGGATGCTGGCCATTCTATGATCATTGGAGGCACTGCTTCGTCTATGGAGACCAGTCTCCTAAACGTAAGTACTTTAATCTGCCTTTCATCCATGAGATCCTTTTGTGTTAATTATGTCGCCCTTGCCATTCTTTTCAAGCAGAATTCCGCCGACCCTTCCTTGTCTTCCAAACGAGCTTTAGCTCAGCATCATCAATACGTCCTACACCTTAGCTTTGAACAATGGAAGGTGCAGTTTAAAAAGGTACCCCATGAACGCTGGGTCGATGATGATCTTGTAGATCAATGTCAATTTGTACGCTTAGATCAAGTCGCTCCTGCATCGCGCTGTCCTGTTCAATTCAATTTCTTCCGTCGAAGGCACCATTGTCGACGGTACGTACTTACTGGAAGCCATGATTTTCTGTTATGCAGGATGTGTACTCATTTACCATTTTCTTTTCTGGTAGGTGTGGAAAGATATTTTGTCACGAACACTCGTCAAATCGAATTCTTTTGTTCCATCCAACCGAACAATCTAGTCAACATGAACCATCTGCTGGCGAATGGTGCAGAGTTTGTGACAAGTGCTTTTTCAATCTTGTCACCGTTGTTGTTCGTCCCATCGCCTCATCTGTACCACCCTCCCTGTAATTTTAAATAGCATTCCTCCACCCATTTATCCTGCCATATCTATTTTCCCCTCACTATCTAATCTATAAACTTGTCTTAATGGAACAATGGGCGCTCGGCTTGGCATTGAAAGCGATTGGATGCGAATTGGGAATGGGCAATTTTTTTAGTTTTAGTTTGGCAAACTGCTTCTGGAACAAAAGCTTGGCAGATACAAATATGGGCACTGAGGCATACAATGGAACAACTACTGTACATGGTTAAGTTTTTAAAAAAGTTATGTAATAAAATAATAAATATACGACTCTATTGCATATAATTAAATTAAAGAAGAGCAGATGCAATGGCAGTGCCGGCGACAGTAACGCCTACGGCTATCCATGAGTAAGAGACGGTATTGGCGGCCGATGGAATAGTGGTTGAGAGACCAGCAGTAGCTGATGCAGCATCACTTGCTAAGTTTGATGCGATGGAGGTAGCAGCGCCAGCGACGCCGGATGCCACTGAAGTAGCTTCACCTTGAATAGCAGAGGCCGCTGAGGTGGCATCCCCACCAATAGCAGTGGCTGCTGAATTGATTGCACCGCCAATAGCAGCGGTGGCACTGTCGAACGATCCAGGGATGGTCACGTCGGCAGCAGCGAGAGTAGCCAGAGCGGCAACAGCAAGGGTCATTGACAATTTCATGATAATGGAGCGGGTAATTGAAACGAGAGTTTGTTGGGTCAAAAAAGTAAGCTTCAAGGGAAATCCCAACTGTGTGTGGTTTATATACCGTAAAGTAACCGTTTTATTGCAGCTCAGAGAAACTTTTTTTTGCAATTTGTACCACGTACATGTGATCTGTGGTGAATAAGAGACGTTCAAGGCTGTGATGTAATCGTCCAGGCATTGCTATAAGCAGCTTGCATCTTTCACAGCCGCCAATTTGGTGACATGATTGATGCTTTGAGCCACTTATGTGCCTTGGCATTTTATCATATAATGCTTGTACCTGATTGATGCTCATAAACACTTGCAAGGTAAAAATAGTATTTTTGATTTTAGTTTCTCGCTCAATCAAGTTGGATCACTGTGCAACGTTAATAGTTTCACTGCTCTTGAATCTAACGGTAGCTGTGCAAAGCTGGTTGAACCAACACTTTTTGCAAATGAGGTGTTTGATCCCCGCTCACAATATCGCCTGTACATGAACTCCATGATCCCGCCAGCTATGTCAGTGGGTATGTCGACCTTATTTGGCTGGATGGACCACAGGCTTGTATTTTATTTTCCTATAATGCTTTGGAAAGCCTCGCCCGCAAAAAATATAATCCAATCTCAGTCGAAAAAGAACAATTTCCTAATTCTGTCATGATGTAATGTCCTCATTTCCATTTCTACACCCACAGCTTCGTTTGTGTGTCGCGAGGAAAATCGGCTGGCCATCTTGTTATCTCTCGTCTGTTTCGCAATTAATTGCCAAAGCTATTTTATGAGTAGTACATCAGAAAGCAATACGCCACCTGCATAAAATTCAGTGATCAACCACCACGGAAGTGAAACACTTTACCTTAAGCATTTTTCGTTTTGCTGTGTTCCACATTTTAACTTTATGCTCCTCGCGTACCTGAATAACATCTTATGTCCGACGTCAAATAACGTTTTAGCGGCAAACATAAGCTGGTCAATGCAGGCACCTACCATTTCTGTACACTGCTGAAAAATGAAAGATCCTTGGTTACTCTGAAACCTGTCGAAGTTCCATGGTAACCGAGGAATTCTTCGTTTCCATAATTTCAAGCTAGCGGAAGTCTATTTTCGCGTTCTCATGATGATGGGATATCGTACCAGTTTTTGGACGCCGAATTTAAGCTGAGCTGGGGGGATGGGTACTTGAATTAATGGGGTCCCTTTGCACAGAGACCGAGCTCGCACCGGTTTTTGTTGCGAATGCAGTTTGAGTAGGCGGCATGGAGTGCAATGGAGACTGTAGTGTAGGTGTGTTATATTTTGCCGATTCGTCATGCGAATGATCAGGCTCCATTTCATCCTCTCCCACTTTAGAATTACTTCGTGTTTCGAGTTGTCAATTGAGAAGTCGAGTTTTTAGATCCTTCTGCGCTGACTGTCAGCATGATTGTAGTCATTGAGAAGTATCAAGTGAAATTCAAATGAGAAAACTCACAGTAACATCAATGTTGTGCAGCCTTTGTCTCCTCTTTTTGCATTGCCAGAAATTCTCCCCACCAATTGTGGTTGATATCCACCAGTCCACTTAAACTTTGAAAAGTTAACACTTCAAATCAAAGTGAACAATGATGAGATAATCCCTCTACAAATGTCTCTCAACATGGAACACAGTTGCTTTTTCAGTTCAAAGCATGATCTCACGTGAAATTTTTTTAAAGTCTGCAATCAAAGAATCCACAATGCCAGTTGTGCAATCCTGAATGGAAGAAATAAGCCGATTAGCAGACGTGTGGTAGAATCTTCTTGCTAACCAACCAGTCAAGTCTCATTCTCACACATAGGTACTGGCATGTTCATAAGTGTGGTGTCAGTTGGAAGTTCTATGGTTCGCCTCTGGTAGAACTCCAGTGTCACTTTGCAACCTAAGTTAAGCTTCTTACAGGACGATTTCAGTTTTATCAATTCTGTCTGCCCTATGTTACCATTCGATTTCATACTTGTTACACCCCTCGTCTGTATATTATTGTAACTACTAAGTGTTTCGTGATATGGTCCCACTCACACCACGCTCTCATCCGCATATGGTAGCTCGGTAGTCAGCGTCCAATCCTCTTTGGATGATGTCTGGCTACTTAAAACAGCCAAGTTTTTTAGATAGAATAGTAGGTAGAAAAATGATTAATTTGCATAGGACCTGTCAGAATATCTGTAACGTCATTTGAATGATTCTCCACCCGTTTATCAAGTATGCCTGGGATGGTAGACGATCATCTCCAGACAACCCTTCACACAGAAAAATAGAACACCTCTATAGTGGATTTATGACTGTACTATCAATTTTCTTTATTGAAATATGATTATGTAATATAGTAGTTCTTGCTCCTGGCAGGCATCAATTGCTTCTGGATTTCCTCGTGAAGACCCTTCCAGAACTCTTATACTGAATTTTTTCTATTGTTTAGCTCATCTACATTAGGTAAAATTGGTGGACGTATTCCATTTTGTACATCTGCTAAGTATTTGTGCATTTCTGTACTATTTTTCGTCTCCTTTTGCAGACTTTGAAATAGTTGTAGGCTTGTGATTTTTAAATTCTGTACCACTTCAAGAAAATCCGAATTGGTCCAGTGGTCAGGATTACCCGCTCTCACCGGGTCGGCCGGGGTTCGATTCCCCGATTCGGAGATTTTTTTGCATT